CTCCCTGACCTCCTACTGGCCCTTCACCCCAGGCAAATGAACTTGACTTACTTCCTCAATTACATAAGTTCTTGGTTATCTCTGGGCCTTAGTCCACATGGACCCTCTGCCTAACACTCTTTCTCCCTTCTCCTCCCCCAGCTAACACTTCCCCTTCAAGTCTCACCGCATCCAGAAAGCCTTCCCTGAACCCCCAGCCTGGGTGTGGTACGCCCAGTTTGACTAGCTCTGTGCACTTCTGCAGCCCAGCCCACCTCCCCTCCCCCCGGGCTGGCACCATCTGGTGACAAGCTTGTCTCTTTCACAGCTTTGTGGGTCTGAGGGGGCAGCGCTGGAGGCTTCCTTAGTCACTGTGTGTCCCCCTACGCCAGTACAGTGAATAGTAAATGCTAAGAACAGCCAAGAGAAACTCTTGTCCTTATGGAGCTGCATTACAGGTAACAGGAGTACAGGCCCACCCAGTCTCCTGCAGCACCTCGCACACAAGGGCACGCTCATGTCCTCCACACCCTCTGTGCTCACCATGGGCTTGTCGTAGAACGGGAAACCCTGCATGGAGCGCAGGGCATTGGTGGCACTGCTGACCTCCTTAAAGATGACAAAGGCCTGGCCCCTCATCTTCAGGCTCCGTGACACCAGGATATCCAGGATCTGGCCAAACTGGGAGAAGATGGCATACAGGGACTTCTTCAGCTCTGCAGTGGGGAACACAGGTAACATGTACAAAGAGCATATTGCAATTCGAGCTGGTCTTTTCCTTGTAGCACCTCGACTGGGCCTGTGCCATGTGGCTCTAGCCAACTCCTCCAACCTCGTCTCTCCCCATACTTCACCTCACTGTGGTGTCTTCAGCCACACTGGTCTCCTAACTCTCACTTAGCCCATCATACCAATTATGCCTCAAGATCTTTGCACTGGCCACTCCCCCTACCAGCAACACCTTCCTCCTAATGTATACACAGCTGTCTCCTAGTCACTCAGGTCTCAAAGGCCTTCCCTAAACACCTTGTCTAAAGAAACAGCCTTCATGTCACCCCCCTCCTCATATCCTACTTGCTCTCCTTCCTAGTACCTTCCATCTGCTGACATCATCTTTGTTTACTTGGTGTCTAGCTTTCCTTCTGAAGAGAAGCATTTGTTCACCACAGTATCTCCATGCTCAGTTCTGACTGCAGCACACAAACTTCTCTAAAAATATTTGTGTGAATAAAGATACCATTGTTTTATGGTAAGTCACTAAAAAGTTCATATTACGCCTGTAGTCTCTTTTTCAGCAAGTAAAAAACCCAGAATTTTTTAAAATATTTTATTTATTTATTTTTAGACCAAGGGGAGGGAGAGAAACATCAATATGTGGTTGCCTCTCGGGTGCCACCTACTGGACACCTGGCCCACCACGCAGGCAAGTATCCTGACTTGGAATGAAACCCAGGACCCTTTAATTCACAGGCCAGGACTCAAGATACCGATCCACACCAGACAGGGGAAAAACTCCAGATTTCAAAAAAATTACATCTCTTCATTTTTTTAAAACAAAACAGAAAAAAAGGTCACGAAATTCTCACAACAGCCCCATGAGGTAGCAACTTTAACTGTCCCTATTTGGCTAACATGTAAGCAGCAGATTTTCAGAGAATTTGTTACTGACCCAGGAGTATCCCAAGGGTTCTGGGAAGACCCTACAGAGCCAGGACTGGGACAGACCCAAGTGCATATAAACCTAGAATCACACCTTGCTAGCAAACTATCTTACTTGACAGCAGAAATAGAATACCAATTTTGTGCAAAGAGGTATCTGAGCTAAAGATAATTGGTGAAAAACATACTAGGTGAGGGAAGAAAACAAAATGTGTAGGGGCGGGAGGAATAGAAGGGAAGCAAAAGTGTTTTGAAGCAATTAACCAAAAATTCTGATGACGTTTCCGGATTTTCTTTCCATTCTCCATCCCCATAAACCCAGTTTGGGCCTCAGTTGCCTCTGTGAACACCGGACCTCTCCACGTTTGTCCATCTGGCCCCCTCCCTCCACTGCTGGAAGATCTGTCACAACTGAGTTCCTTGCTTGGCTCCCCATGCCCCCAGGACACAGCCTAATGCCTCACCCAGTCCACAGGCCCCAAGAGCAACCAGTGCTCTGCTCACTGGAATCTTCCTGGAAGTCACAGGCCAGTAGTAGGCCACACACACACACACACACACACACACACACACACACGATTAACTTGTAGTTCCCAGAATGTCCAGGGCTCTTGTCCCTAGACCAACGATCTTTACCTTTTTCCATCTCATGGCACACATAAACTAATTACTACAATTCTGTGGCACACCAAAGAATATATTTTTTGCCAACCTGACACTAAAAAAAAAAAATAGGTATAACTTTGATTCATTCACACCAGACAGCTATTGTGTTGACTGTTGTATTTTTTTAAATTTGACAATGTATGAAAAAAAGAGATCAGTGCCCCTGACTAAATAGTCAGTTATTACATGTTTTAAAAATTCTTGCAGCTCACCGGTTGAAAAACTGCTGCCCTGGACATTGACATTTGCATATGCTGGTCCAGATTAGGAACATTCTTCTCCCTCATTGCAACATAAATACTATATGGAGGGCCAACCTAGGTTATATGTGCATTTTCTACTTCATGGATGGTCGGCGCCCCTAGCCTACACGTTGTTCAAGGGTCAAGCGTAGTGCTTCCTCTACCTGGAAATCTTTCCCACCAACTATCTCCTTTTCTGTGAAACTCAATTACTCCCACTTTCTCAGTGCCCAATCTCAGCCCTGTGCTTCCCCTGGCTACTCTGGTTTATCATGGTCTCCTAGCAGGTCTTCCATCCCCACTGGACTTGTGGCTCCATGAAGGTATGACCAGAACTGTCCCAGTCACCAGTGTGCCCCCAGCACCAAAAAGTACTGCCTGAGCAAGATGCCCTAAAAGCACACAGGCAATTTACATGCCCTGTTTTGTCTTCAACAGCAAGTTTGTCGGTAACCTCAAACTTAATCCAACAACCTTTTTTGTTTTTCCCCACAATTTTCTTGAGGTGATAATCAGAGCTAACATTTACCCAGCCCTAATTGCTGGATCCCATAAAAAAGCACCACGCCCTGGCTGGTGTGGCTCAGTGGATTGAGTTGCCAGCCTGTGAACCAAAGGGTCGCAGGCCGGATTCCCAGTCAGGGCACATGACTAGGTTATGAGCCAGGTCCCCAGTAGGGGGCGCACAAGAGGCAACGAATCTATCTCTTGCACGTGGATGTTCCTCTCACTCTTTCTCCCTTCCCCTCTCTAAAAATAAATAAAACCTTAAAAAAAGAAAAAGAAGCACCGCATGGAGTCTTAGCTAATTTAATCCATACATAGTATTATGATTTTGCCCAGTTTTTAAATATAATAAATATAGTTCAATAAAGATGACTTGTTAAAAGAAATAAAAAACGTCTGAGGTTAAGAAACAGCTTCTTACACAGAATTCCACACTGGTGACCTGAACCTCTTTTCTTTGCTGTGTGAACTTAAGGAAGTCACATAACCCCTGAATCTCAATGTCCTAATCTGAGAAACTGGAACAATACCTATTTCCTGCAGGACTGTTGTGAAAACTTTGATATTAAACATTTTCATTGTGGGCTGACCATTGAATACATGACACTGACTGAGCCAGTCCCAGTTCTTGCCCTCACAGGCCAGTGAACAGACACTTATGACAGACCAGAACCATCAGGACTTTGCAGGGTGGGGGGGAAAAGGCCTATGGGAAATCAGACCGGCTCCTCTCAAGGGGGAAGCAGATGGGGAAGGCTTCCTGGACGAGGGGTACCGTGAGCTGAAACCTTTAAGGATGAGCGACAATGACTGGGTTAATGGACAGTCTAAAAATGAACTGGGGTAGTGTTAAAGTCAAAGGAAGCAACATGTGCAAAGACCGAGGGGTTAACTCTAATATTCTGTCTAGAAGAGATGGCCGAGGAAGAGAAGTGGATGCTGTTGATAAACGAGGGGGCCGGCTCGTGTGAGATGCACTCCACTGAGAACTCACCGTCCTTCTTGATCTTCTCATTGAGGTTATTGATGTAAATAGTGTGGTTGGGGCGGGCCTCGGGAACTGCCATGTAGCAAGGTGCCGCTGTAGAACTGAAAGGAAAAAGGTACCTTCAGCCCCGGGCTTCTAAAAATCCTTTATCCGAACGCGGGCTTAAAGGATTGCTCGGGGATCTTCCTTCCAGAAGGAAGTCACATAAAGTAGGAAGGAAGGAAAAGGGTCCACAGTTTGGAAAACAAAGCGAACGCGGGACACTACTTCCCCTCCCGCGTGGTGAGGGAAATCTCCACAGAGGTTTACTACGAGTCCCAGGAGACTCTGAGCGACTTAATAGGTGGAACGTACTGACTGGTCATTCTCATTGGCCCACACGCTCACGAGGCGGTCAGGAGAAAAACCCGGATGTAAGTGCCAGTTAAGGAGGGGCAATTTTGTGAAGCCCTGGCCACGCGAAAAGAAAAAATAGTTTCCGCACACGAGGCTGGTAAAGACTCGGGTGCCAAGCGCTCTGCCTGCCCTTGGGGGCCTGCACCCACTACTACTCACCAACACAGACACGGATCCGACAACTGGCCGCTGCTACGTTTCCAAACGCCAAGACCAAAGCTTCCTCTCTTGGCTCCGCCTTTATTATCCTGCAAGCCAATCCCCGCACGGTAACTTGGTATCTTGACCAATAAGAGTACTCTTTCCCGACCTTGCCAATCAAATCTTGGGCCAGATCTTGCCAATCAATGCAACATAGACTTTGCCAATCAAAAGGCCACCTGGGTTCCCGCCTCTGTCCCCGGACCAATCAATGAAGGCTGCACCTTTCTTGCGGCAGTCTTTTCCGGAGGCAGTCCTTCGGGAGCCCCACCTCTCCCCAATGCCACGCCTTCTCTGTTACGTAATTCCTAAAGGGGCGGACAAGCACGCGGGTCCCTACTACTTGAATCAGAAAGGTTGTATGTTGCGGCAGCCATTTTGCGGGAAGGGGAGGTGCCTTTTACTCTCTGACACCATACGGCATCCCAGCGGTATTTTGGATCCCAACGGCCTTCGATCTCTGGGCCTTCCTTATCCCACAGGCCTTTCCTGTTGCGTCCTGATTCTGGAACCTCCACAACTGGGCCATTTTTCCCGCCAGGTGTCCTTTTGACCTCTTGACCTCTGACTTAAGGTCAGCTCAAAGCTTCCTAACTCGGGTTTGGGATGTATGGGATGGGGAGGGCGGGGCAGTGGAACACATTCTAAATTATCACCTCGTCTTTAGCTTTGGGCCTCTAAACCCCACCGTTAGCGCCTCACTGCAGTGTGAAACGTCATATCCCAGTAACTGACCCCCAAGTTTCCAAATCTAACCCAGATGATAAATTAACTCTTCAATTTCCCTCTTTCAGGCTCCCAACCCAGCTGCATTCTACAAATCTGGTTCTGGATTAAAGGACACCACCCTGTTAACCCTTAGAGACCAACTGATTTGAGTCACCCCCTATCCTTGCTCCCATGGTTCCAAAATTTTAGCCCTGGTTCTTTCAGTGCCATTGCTGAGTGCCCCAGTTCCAGAACTCTGCCCTAGAATTTTTCAAAATCTCCATCCCTGAGCCCAGTCCATTTTGGAGAATCCTCTTTCTCATCCTTCTAGCGCATGCCATAGACTCCAAAATGATTTCTTCATGCTCTTCTCCCTTAGAGCCCCAAATCCATCCTCCAAGAAATCCTTCATCCCAGGCCCCCATCATCCCAGCTCCCCTACCCCCACATCTCCCGGACATAGCCTTTCTACCCTCTCCTTCAAGTCTCCAGGCCCTTATTCCCCCACCACCACCACCTCCACCCTCTTCCACGGGTGCTGCTCCCCCTCATGTATTTGGCTTAGAGAAGAGCCAGCTTCTGAAAGAAGCCTTGGAGAAAGCCGGCCCAACCGCCGGGAGCAGAGAAGACACGAAGAGGCTCCTAAAACTTCACAAGGACCGGTAGGGTTTGCGTTTCCCGCCCCACCCACCCAGGGGCTCATTGAACCACCCGTCCCCACATAGCTTCCTCCATGTTCTCTTGGGGTTTCCCCATTTCCTCAGGAATCTGCCCTCACAAACACCTAGTCCAGTGAGAAAAACGTGTCCTTCGCTCCACCAGATGGTGACAGTGGAGAGTGGGCAGAGGGAGTGATGAGGGAGTCCGGAGGGGGTGCCCAGCCCAGGCTGGGGATCAGTGGGGCCTGCCTGAAGAAGATCCCTGAGTGCTATTGAGCAAGTTATCAAAGCTATGTGTTGAGAGTAACCAGCTTGTGCAGAGACCCAGAGTGAAATGAAGATACATTTCTTTAATGGGACAGGGGAAGTGACAAGCACGGGGTTTGACAGTTGGGCAGGGCATGGAAGGAAGGCGACTGTCCTGTGGAAGGCCTTGCACAGCAAGGGAACGGAGGATGTAGTGAGACTGGCGTCTGCAGGCCAACGAGGAAGCTGGGACACCCAGGGACCTCAGCAGGAAAGGAGGGCCTAGACCTGGCTGGGCTGTGCAGACCCCACTTAACAATTGCCTGGCTGAAGGGAAGAGGGAGAAGTGACTAGTCCAGATACGTAAGAAACTTCCAGCTTTCTAGGGAGCTTGATAATCTTTTCTATGCCCCACCCATAGATTTCCAGCATTGTTTTTAAGTACTTATTTAATCCTCTCAGCAACTCCACGAGGTAGGAACTATTACTCTGTTTTCCAGATAAGGAAACTGAGGCTCAAGACTGAGCCTCAATGAAGTGACTTAGCCACAGTGCTTATCAGAGTAATAGCCAGGTCGAACTCTGGGAGTGGGCCTCCATGCTTTTAACCACCATGCTACAGTGGCATCTCCTTCACTTTCACTGGCCTTGAAATAGAAATTAAACGCATCTCCCTGACCCTCCTGTGCCCCAGAGGTGGAGGAATAGATTGGGATCAGGCAACCCTGAGTGGCTGGAGGGTGAGGCTCATTATCAAGATGCTCTCTAGACCTGGAACTTGTTACCTGATTTTTAGTCAAGGCTGAGTCAAGGAATTTTTGCCTTATTTAACAGCCTGCAAAACAGGTTTGAGAGGGGGAAATCAGAGTTTGGGTATAAAATCTCAATCTCCCGAGAAATTTTCTCTAATCACCGGCTCCTAGTTGCAAAGCTCTTGCACATCTGTCCTTTGCCTCTTCAGTAATTAGGAGAAGGCATAGGGAGCAGCAGGTGGAAGGGTCACGCCCACCGAGTGGATGACAAATTGAGGCTGGTCAGGGACGTGTCCTGTCAGGTGAAGGAAGTCAGTGACTGAGCCCGGAGAGTTCAGGCCTCAGGACAGCGGGGCCTGTATTCCCCCCCCTTCACTGCTCCCAGCCAGACCTCAGCAGGGCACTATAGGAGCTGGTTCTTCGTGTGACCTGATTTTGGCTCTGATTCAGTTTCAGAAGTGACTTGCATTGGATCCTCTTCTGTGCAGACCTGCCCTCCCTCATCCAAGAAGGCCCTCAGTACGTGCCTTGATGTGGAACCCTAAGCCCTTGGGAGTCCCATGTGTCCCAAGCCTTTGACTTTGCTGTGCTTACTGAGGATGGGCCCAGGAGGGTGGGAGGAATGGGTTCTCCTCACCCCAGTAGCCCGGGGAAGACAAGGGGAGTGGAAGGAGAGGGTGACTTACTGGGTCAGGGTCCTGGGGGCATGCGCAGTAAATAGTTGGAATCACTGAGTAAGTGAGAGAACAAATGAACCTGGTCCATTGTCTCCAACTCCACTTTGGCAGCTACTCATCCTGGAAGCCCAAGGGACATATCTCTCTACCCTTCCTTCTCCTCATCCTCAGTACTTGGCCAGTCTCTCTGCCACGAAAGGGTATTGTCTCCCCACCCTGACAGAGGGGAAAGGACTCCCCCAGGGCAGCCAACCTATTCCTCACACTCCAGCTTCCAGGGCAGAGGGGTCCCTGGACTCAGGGACTCAGGGACTGAGGGGTTGGGCTTGTTTCTCCCAGGTGTGGGCTGGTGGCCCTGTGGATGGCAGGCACTCTCCTGGTGCCCCCCAGTGGCATCCCCCTAGAGAGACTTGTGCAGATGGCCATGGAGAGAGGCTACACGGCCCAGGGAGAGATGTTCTCTGGTGAGTCGGGTGCAAAAGGCTCACAAGCCTGGCGTTCTTCACCAGGAATGGACTGAAGAGGCTGGGTGGGACCAGGTACGTGGGAGGGCCTTGTTCCATTCCTTAGGCCCTTCCCCTACCAAGTGTTACGAGATAGACTCTGGAGCAAGGCTGCCTGGGCTCCCAGCCCAACTCTGCCACCTCCTGCTCTGTGGTCCTGCACAAGCAGCTTACCCTCGATGTGCTTCATTTTCTGCATTTGTGCAAGAGGTGATGTTCACAGTAGAGATCAGAGGCATCGATCCCTGTGAGACCTTGAAAGGTACCAAGCACACAGTGATCCCTTGCTCTGTCTGCTGTGTCCCCGCAGTGGCTGACATGGGCAGGCTGGCTGAGGAGGCCCTGGGCTGCGAAGTGGAGCTGCTCCGTGGTGGTCTAGGCGGTGCCAACAGGGAACGTGTGCTGCAGCACCTTGTTGCCGGACATCCCTTGCTCATCCCGTATCCCAGGGCAGGACGGGAACGGGTGGGGAAGGGTGAATTCCAAGGCCACACCACAGCTTTGGCCTTAACCCTGCCACCAGCTACGATGAAGACTTCAACCACGAGCCGTGTCAGAGAAAGGGCCACAAGGCCCACTGGGCAGTGAGCGTGGGTAAGTCCCCCTCCTGTGTCCCTGTGCACGCGCCCTGGGTCTCCCCCGCTGCACATCATCCCTCCTCACATTCTCACCCTGGTGCTCACTGGGACCTCCCCAGTACTCTCCAGGCAGAGACGAGGCCTGGGCCACCCCTGTCTGCACAGGATACCGTACTTAGCAGGGGCCTGGCAGGCAGCGGTGCTTCAGTGTCTAGCAGTTGGGGTTTCCACGAACGAGCCCAGAGTGCAGGTGTTTGGAGCAAACCTTCTGGACTCCAGGCTCAGTCCTGCCACTTCCAGGCGCTGACTCTGGAAATCGGGGTGATGGTAGAACCCACCTCACAGGGCTGCCTTACTTGCTGAGCATGGAAAACCCTCTGAACAGTGGTGTCTGGCATGTTGCACATCTCAGTGTTAGCTGTGACCAGCATTGTCCTCATGTCACCTGCCTGCAAGGAGGAGGGATCTGTGTGCATCAGGTGGGCCTGGTCAAGGTTCTGCTCGACCTCCTCCTGGCTGTGGCCTTGAGGGCTCCTCCGCTCCTAGCATCTCTCTCCTAGGTAGCTGGAGACGACTGGGTGACAGCGTTTGCTCTGTTTAATGTCAGCTCTCCACCTCCCAGCACTGACAGGCCGCAGGGGGCGGGACTTAAAGTGCCTACAGCTCTGGAGCCGGACACCCCGGCTCCAAATGCCAGCCCAGCTGTGTGCCTGCTGCCCCCATTAACTTCACTGTAATGTGGGGACCAGGCAGCACCTTCCCTGGAGGGCTGCAGGGGCAACTCAGTGTGCCCCGGGCCCCCACTCACGGCCTCTCCCTCTCACAGGGGTCCTGCTCGGTGTGCAGCGTGTGCCAAGCCCTGGCTATGCTGAGGACACTGAGCTGCCAGGCCTGTTTCACCCTGTGCCCGGCGTGCCCCGCCAGCCACCACCCCTGCCAGAGGAAGGCTCGCAGGGAGCAGTCTACCTTCTCGCCAAGCAGGGCAAGAGTTGGCATTACCAGCTGTGGGACTACAACCAGGTCCGGGATAGCAACCTGCAGCTGACGGACTTCTCACCCTCTCGGGCCTCTGATGGCCGGGCGTATGTGGTGCCTGTGGGTGGAGTACGGGCTGGCCTCTGTGGCCAGGCTGTGCTCCTCAGACCGTAGGACTCCCGCCACCAGCCTGCTGCAGCCCTGAACTGGGGGCGATGGGACCCAGACCGCAGGTTTTCCTCTGTGTGACTACCCAAGGGCTCCGGCTGGCTCTCTTGGGGACCTCCAACAAGAGATCTTTCACACAGGGTCCCCAACAACCTATTCACTCTTGAGCCTGGGTGTCGTCCCAACTGCCTCAACCTCATCCTGCGTCAGGCACCGACTGTGTGGGCTGTAGAGCTGGAAGCTGGATTGACAAACTCCCTCTCCCAGGGGGGAAAACAGCTCAGACACGGAGGCCCATCCACCCCACCCGAGTATTGCATCCACTGCTTCTCACTGGAGGGCACCCTCTTCTGAACCATCATCTCTGTGGACATCTGCCTCCTCACTGGGCACCTTGCTGTCCCCCAGTACCTGTTCACATGGGGTCAGGGCTGAGGGAGCAAAAAAAAAAACTTGGCCTCCTCATTACCTTCCAGGGAAGCTTGCGGCAGTTCCCTTTTGGTCAGAGAATAGGAACTAACCGCCCAGCCCAGCTCCCCTCCTGCTACCAGCCCTACTGGCCTTTCAGACCCCCAGTGCACCCGCTGCAGCCTCTGCTGACGGTCATCCTTAACTGTGCCCTCAGGTTCTTCAGTAAGTCTACGTGAGACTGCTTAACGAGAAAATAGCCAAACTTAATACATACATAATGGGAACCTCACCTATATGAGAGGTTCCAAGATGGGGAGAATGAGGTATAGGTGCCATTCTGAGCTAAGGTTCATCTTAGGGCTCCAGAGGGAGGAAGGTCACTGCAGGATGACAGAAGCAATTAGAAGTTTACCCTGCTCTGTAGGTGGGTCAGAAAAGTGATCATTTTATTACGGGCACAGCCCCTAATTCAGACTGTTCTAGGTATTTCGGGCAGAGTTGGAGGTTTCACTGAGCCTTCAGTCTTGATTACCCTAGCTCACAACCCGCATACCACAGAGGCACATCTTGGGGTGAGTGGTTCTGAGCCCCTATACCAGCTTGACTCATCACAGGTTCCCTGTGTGTTCTGATTTTTTGAAAAAGACATGCATCTGAGAGCAACTGAGTGTGCCAACCCGGTCACCCACGTTAACTTGGTACATGCTCCACTCTCATACGTGAGGTACTAGGTTGTCCCCACGTTACAGATGGAGAGACAGGCTTGGGGGAGCACAGTCATTGGCCAAGGCCACCTGGCTTGGCAAGTGGCAGGGTCAGGATTCAAACCAGGTAGTACCTGCACGGGTACATCTAGATAAATAAATACATATTTTTAGGTTAGTTTAATGAATACCTGTTCCCTCCCCTCTGAAAGGGGAGGAAACAGGTGTGTTGTGGTCACTGCCGTGCCTGTGGTGCAAGGAAACTTCAGAGAGATTGCTGCACACAGATAGTGTTTGGGGTTTTTTAATGTTTCTAACCAGAAGTGGGGAACCCCCACCAGCCCAGGCCCCTCCACCTGTGCCTCCCTTCCCAGCCCTGGTGGGTTGGCGCTCCTGTGCACTGTCCTGCCCGAGCCGGCACAGAGCCAGGCACAAGAGGAGCAGCTCAGCCAGGACTCCGGGCCTGCATCTCTACTCCAAACTGGTCACTGTCCTGTTAACCGGGCTCGAGACTGTGTGCTTTGGGCCCACACCCCCCAAATGCAAGAGAAAAATTTCACGAAGTTGGCTTTGAATGTTCTGTTTACTGGGGAGTCGTCACGGAGGGGATGGCGGTTCAGGGATGTTGCCGCCAGGTCCCCAGCACTGTCCGGTCTAACAACTACTTGTATAAATAAGTACAAAGGTCAATAGAAAAGGAGCGTGCCTCCTACACGCTGGAAGACCACATTAGAGCTTTGACTTGAAGAGGTGCTTTTCCACCTCTGTGGCCCCCAGGAGGCCAGTTCCTGGGGGCAGGGGCAGGGCACCACTGACCTCGGGATCTGGGGGTCTTTGGTTTGGACAGGTTGTGAGCCAGCTAGCAGCCCCACCCACCCTGAGCATCTGGCTCAAGCCCGGCGCTTCTCAGGGCTGGGGCCCCGGGTGTGGTGGGGGCTTCCCAAGAAACGCAGTGCTGATACCCAAGCTGGTTTCCCTGCCCCTGAAAGCCCTTCTCACCACCTCAGCTAAAATAAAGGGCACCTTAAAGGGTAAGGGGAAGACATGGGAAGTCCTGTGGCTGAGGTGGTGCTGGTCACAGAGCTGGCATGGGATGTGGCTGCAGTTTTGGTCTGCAGGGTGTCAGCACAGTTCTCCCAGGAGCAGGGAGGACCCAAGGGGCCCTGGGAAGGCAGGAGAGCAGCGTCAGCTCTCAGGCCAGTCCCATGGTGTCACACCCCACAGTCAGCACTTGAAAGGCCCCGGATGAAGTGATGGGGCCCTAACGTTCCCAGGCAGACACACCAGCTTCAGTGTTTGTCCACAAAGAAGCCTGGTCCTCCCAGCACCACAGATGCAGCTGACTGGTCCCTGGCCTTGAGCCTGCTGGTGGCAGGAGGAGGCCTGCCAGTAGTGATTAGAGTCATTCACATGGTAATAGCCGGGTCAGGCCCGCACCCTGCAGTGGCTGAACTGTTCTTTCAGGGGTGTGGTTCACTTGTAGCCTCCAGCAGCCCCTCGGGAATCTTCCTTGCTAGCCAGAGGACCTGGTCTGGCTCTGACTCGGTGGGACCCAGCCACGTCACGTCCTCTCTGTAGGCCTTACAGACCCAGGATCGCGCAGGGGCTGGGCACTACCCGGTCTCCAAGGCCCTTCAGATCTGCACTGGGCGTGGGTGGTGCACCACACCTCTGTCCCGCGGGTCAGGACCTCCACGGCCGACCTCAGGCCCCTCGGCTCCTCCAGCCAGCTGAGTACCATCCAATAAATAAAGCTGGCAGCAGGCAAGTGGGTCAGCTCTGGGCCAGCCCCTGAAAAAGGTGAATCATGTTGTCCAGGCCCCAGAGGTAGCCGTCCTCACGGTTACCCTCAGCCCAGGGCAGCCGGTGGCTGAGTGTCTGGTGGTCGGGCAGAGCCACTGTCTTGCCGAAGTCAATCATCCAAACCTTGGCCAGGCCAGTGCAGTCGTGCACGAAGAGAAGGGAGCTGCCCACCACCTGCGGGGAGACAGGCAGCAGTCAGGGGCGGAGCAAGCATCACGAAGGTCCCATCCCCTGGGGGCATCTGAGCAGGGTGGGTGACAGCATGAACTTGAAACAAGATGCCTAGGTTCAAATCCTGGCTCTGCTACTCATTGGCTGTTAAGCCTTGGGCAGGTGACCTAACTTCTCTGTGCCTCTGCCGACTGATACACAAAGTGGTGCGAATAATGGAGTAATAGTACCATTTACCTCGAAGGTTGCTGGGCATATTATATGTATGGATTAATCCACACAAAGCAATTAAAAACAGTTTCCAGTGTAGCAAATGCGGATGTTAACTGGTATCCTTTTTCAAGCTGAGTTACAAACTCAAATGCCTGTAGGATCCTGAATGGGTCAGGAGAGCCCCGTGGGAACTAAGAAAGTGGTTCACGCCTTCCCCACGGGAAGAGCCAACAAGTACACAGCCCTGGCGGACTGCTGCTCGTAACCAGAGGCAAGTGGCTTCCCTTCCCTGGGCCTCAGTTTCCCTGTAGAACAGGGATGATGGTCACGGCCCTACCTCCGGGGCTTGTCGGCACCGTTCCATGATCCACGCACCCAGCAAGGGCCTGTGGGGCGTGCCTGCGGCCCTCAGAGATGCTGCTTTTGTTTTCCTAATTAGACACAGTAGTTTCCTTGCCTTCACCTAACTCCATGTTGGCAACCCTCCCTTTTCCTAACCTGGTTTCGAACCCCACTGCCCCCAGGGAGCCCAGGTGACAGGGCCCGCGAGCAGGTGCCTTTGAGTAGAGGCAGATGCCGCCCCACTCCCGGCAGCTGCTGAGATGTGGCAAGTGGCCCCGTGTTACCACATCTCCCAAGGTACCCAGGGGAACTGGAAACCCCGATCTGGGGGTGAAGTCTCACATGTTCAATGCTGGCAACTCATCTTTTAAACTGTAAGTCACTGAGCAGGTGACACCAAACACAAAGACAGATGAGATGTGACACACACACACCCCCCACCTCCTCTTTGCAACTTGTGAAGCACAGAGGCAGTGACAAGGTCGATGAAGGTGACTTCTGATAAGAAACCTGACGGTAACAGCTGGCACACACTGAGGGTTTCCTTTGGGCCACGCGGTCCCTCGATGAATCCACTTAACTCTCAGGTGGCCCAGAAGGCGGGTGCTCGGTTACCCCCCCCTGCAGGCCAGCAGAGCTGGGGTCCCAACCCAGGCCGGCTGGGCTTCTGGGTCAGGGCTCTCCCAGAAGTCAGTGATGCCAGGAGAAGGGAGCGGGCTTGGGTGAGGGGAGAGCCTGTACAGAGCAGGGGAGGAAAGGACGCAAGGGCTGCTGCCACCACTCGCCAGACTCTGAGACAGCCTCGGAGTGATGGATGTTTCCAAAAAAACAGGCTGAGGAAGAGGGAGAAGGCCAGGGGGAGAGCCACTGAACAAGGAACGCAGATAACAATAACTATAAATAATTCTGATCACAAAGTAACTGTAAGAGCTAGGAGTTAGCACTGGCCAGGTTGTTCAGTTGATTAGAACGTTATCCTGATACACCAACACTGCAGGTTCGATTCCCAGTCAGAGCACATACAAGAAGCAACCAATGAATGCATAAATAAGGGGGACCAAAAAAATCAATGTTTCTCCCCCTCCTCTCCCTCTCAAAAACAAACAAGAGCTACACGTTAAATGCACTTCCATGCTCCAAATGGTGCTCGACAGTTGTTCGTCTCACGCCTCAGCAGCCCTATGAGGAAGGTAATGTTCCTTCCCACCTTAGAAGGAAGCCAAGGCCCGAGAGGTCACGTAGCTGAGAAGCCAGACGGCAGAGCCCACCTCGTCCCAGGCTGCTTGGCCCGAGTCCACGCTCCTAACGACGCACCTCCCTGAACCCCTGTGCTGCCTACTGTAAAAAAGCAGACCCCCAAATACGGGGTCTCGTTTTAACTGCTTTAATTCTTTCTGTCAGCAATTTCTCCTCAGTGCGACCTGGACCCCAACCCACCCCGACCTCACACACATACAGGACCCTCTGCTCCCTTGGTGGTGGGGCTCGCACCTCATGGGTCTTGAAGAAGGGGGAGTTCTCCAGAGCTTCACGAAGTTCTTCTAGGCGTGTGACGTACTTTCTCTGTTTGAGAGGGAGAGTTTCTTGGTTAGCACAGGAACTTTGGGGGTCCTTCCCCACCCTGAGATCTGACCTCGTCCTATACCGGCCGTGATGGATAAGGGGAGCCAATGGGGAAAGCGATAGGGGAGAATGGATACGCTGGGGTGGTGCAGACAGGGTGAGTACATCCCGGAATACCCATAATTCCTAGCAGCTTCTCCCACCAAGAGGCGGAGTCTAGCCCTGGCTGGGTAGCTCAGTCGGTTAGAGTATCACCCCATATGCCAAGGTTGCGGGTTTGATGCCTAGCTAAGGCACATTCAAGAGTTAGCCAATGAATGCATAAATAAATAGAACAACAAATCAGTCTTTCTTTCTCTCTCTCAAATCACTAAAAAAGTAAAAAAGAGGTGGAGTCTGCTCTCCTCCAAGGTAGGCTTGGTCATAACTTGCTCTGGCTAATGAAACACAGCAGAAGTGATGGTGGCTTATCCACCAACAGGCCTTGCGTTTTCACTTGTTCTCCCGGCCAGCTGCTTCCACCGTGAGAACAAGCCCAGGTGAGCCTGCTGGATCACAAGAGACAAGTGGCTGAGTCATGATCTGAGACCACCAGACAAGTGGGCAGGGCCATCCTAGACCAGCCAGTAACAGCCAACCTCGGCCCTGAGCAAAAGACCACCATAGGGGACAACAGCGATGGCAGTGGCCCTAAACGGCCAACTTTGGGGCATGGGTGTCCCACTCACCAGGATTCCACGGTTCCCATCCACGAAGTCCTCCAACACCTTTGTCACCTGCTCCAGCTCCTGTGTCTTCTTGAAGTTGGTGTTGCAGGTCCCATCGGCTTTCTGCAGAGCGAGGGTTGAAGGCGCAGGGTCATAACTTTCCTTCTCACGCCCAACACCAGTCAGCCTCAGGTACCTCATGCGCCACCTACCTACCTCCATACCCAGTTGCTGTTCAGCAGAAGCCAACCCGCCTGCCCAGCTCAGATCAACCCAGCCCCAAGGCACACTCTGAGCAGCTAGTCCTTCCAAGTCTAACCTTGAACCTGCTGCTTGAGCCAGTCTAGCCAAGTGGGCTCTGGAAGGGGGCGAATCTGGCTTTGAATTGTGACTCTGCTACTTCCGAGCTGGGTGGCATTAAGCGAGTCACTTCACCTGTCTCAACATCGGTTTCCTTGTGTGGAAGATGGGAATTGTGTTAGTATCTACTTGCCAAAGCTGGTGTGAGGATGAGAGGAGATTGGGTATGCAGAATGCATAGCACTGAGATTGGCACATAGCAAGTAAGCACTCAATAAATGAGACTAATGTTCTTTTATATGTCTGAGAGGGGCACGGAGAGGGCACGGGCATCTGACACAGTCAGATGAGGGGGCAGAGACTGAACAAGAGCATCACAAAAGAAGATAAGAATAATGGAGTACAGGAAGTTATGAGGAGCTAAAGAGAGGGTTCTCATCTAGTAGGAAGGGCTTCCTGGAGGAATTGAAATGTAAAAGGAGACAGGAAAAGACTAGCAACAGGCCCCTTTCAAGGAAATGAAGTACTTCACTGTGGCCTGAAGGTGGGCAGGGAGGAAGAGAGGGATGAAAGATGAGGCCAGACCCCAGAGGGCCCTCTAGGCCAGGGAACGTCTCTTCAGGGCCCTAGGGAGCCGTGGGAGGGTTTCGAATAGGAGAATGGCATAGCCGGATAAACAACGTATATCCAGCGAGGCTGTGCGGAAACGAGACCCCTCATACATGGCTGGTGGGATGCACACTGGTACATGGAAGCACCTATGGAAGGGGTGTGGCGATCTCTAGCCACATTCTCATTGCATTTCATATTTCATCTGGTAGTCCTGCTTCCGGGAGTCTGGCCTATAGCTAAACCTCCACGCTTGCAAACTGTGCCGCTGAGATGTTTTTGTAATGGAAAAAATGGAAACAATCCAGGTATCCATCAATAGGGCACTGTGGCACATCCGCAAAGAGCTATTGCAGTTGAAAGAAAGAATGAAAGAAAAGGAAGGAAAAGGAGGAAAGAAAGAGAAAAAGGAGGGAGGGGGAAGGGGAGAAGGGAGGGAGGAAGGAAGAAAGAGGAAAAAAGTAAAGAAAAGAGACTCTGGAATGATATGGAAAACCCTTTAGGACTATGCTGCCTTTTGGGTAAGAAAGGGAGGACATTTGGAAATATGCAATTGCAATCATTTGCATTTGCAGGAAGAAATGTAAGACACTGACAAAGCGGTGCCCTGTGAAGAGGGAGGGGGTAAAGGGACAGAACGGGAATGACAGCAGCAGCTGGGGGGGGGGGATTTTTCCTATACCCCCCATTATAATATTATTTTGACTTTTCAACAGTGTGAATTCTTATTCAAACAATTAGATTTAACTTACAAAAAGAAAGAAGGAGCCCTGGCTATTTTACAAAAGGTCACAGGTTTGATACCCAGTCAGGGCGTGTGCAGAAGGCAACCAATCGATGTTTCTCTCTCGCACTGCTATTTCTCTCCCTCTCTTTCTCCCTCCCTTCCCCTTTCTCTAGAATCGATAAAAATATTTTTTTTAAAGAAGGAAGGATGGGAGAGAGGGAGGGAGGGAGGAAGAAAGGAAGGAGAAAATCTTTCTCCACAAGGGGAAAGGGACAGTGCTCTAGCTGCTGTACTGGACGGTGGATCTGAGGAGGCTGGGGAAGGAGAAGACGGAGCCGGGCCCGGACAGGGCCGAGGGGCGGGAAGAAGATGGAATCGGGGTGCTCAGAGAAAGAAACAAAACTTGGCCGCTGATGGCTATGGGACGAGGGGAGCAAGACCTCTCCCGGCCCGATCTCATCATCCTCTGCAGTCTCCTGAGCTCTCTCTGGATCTTGCATTTTTCCGGTTTCCCTGACACCCATGCTCCCCAAGAACCCCTGCCTAGGCCTAGCTCCCAGCTCCCAGAGAGGCTAGCAGCTCCTGGACCTCACCTTGATGCCCTCAATCCGGAAGCCCAGGGTGGAGGTCGAGCTCACGGTCTCTCTCCACTGCATGTAGCGAGGCTTGGTGACGGCACCCTGGGCGTGCTCCTGGGGCGTGGGGGCCCCGGGGTCCACTGCCACCATCTTCTCGTACATGTCCTTCCGGGGCCGGGGCCGGTCTCGAGCCTTCACCAGCTCCTCCTCCAGGTAGGTCCTGGGACACAGAGAATGGGACAAAGTGGGCATTTCCTAAACACAAAGCTACTAACCCTAATGGAAAAAATGGACAAACGGGACTAAATTAAAAGTACTGTGTTATCAAAAGACAATATTAAGAGAGTGAAATGGGAGGCTGGAGACGTATATGTAGGTGTATGTGCATCTCCAACAAAAGACTTGCACCCAGAACATACAAAGAATTTGAAACCAAAAAGAAGGTGACGAGGGTATGGTAGGGGTAAACGGTGACGGATGGAGACCTGACTCGAAGTGGTGAAGGCGCAACGCAGTGGGCAGATGTGGTGTCAAACTGTGCACCTGAAACCCGTACAATTTTGTTAACCAGTGTCACCCCAATAAATTCAATAAAAAGGAAAAAAAAGAAGAAAGAGGGGGGAAAGGGTATAGGAGATGAAATGGTAATGGAAAAAATATACAATAAAAAAAGAAGGGCCCGGCTGGTGTGGCTCAGTGGACTGAGTGCTGGCCTTCGAACCAAAGGGTCACCGGTTTGATTCCCAGGCAGGGCACATGCCTGGGTTTCAGGCCAGGTCCCCAGTAGGAGGCATGTGAGAGGCAACCACACACTGATGTTTTTATCCCTCTCTTTGTCCTTCCCTTCTTTCTAAAAATAAATAAGTAGAAGAAAGAAAAAGCCAGCCCAAGAGAAAATTTGACAAAATATTCCAACAGGCACTTTTCAATCGGCCAATCAATGCTCAACACTTCTTTGGTCGTCAGAAAACCAGAAATAAAGCCATAATGAAACACTCGCTGGAATGGCTAAAATTAATGAAACAGGTGATACCAAGTGGTGGTGAGAAGAGGGGACAATGGGAACTCTCACACACTGCTAGCAGAAATGTGGGGACAACCACTTTAAAATGTTTACGTATTTAATTTTAGAGAGGGGGAGGGAGAGAGAAAGAGAGGGAGAGAAATGTGTGGTTGCCTCTCCAGCGCCCCCTACCGGGGACCTGGCCCACATGCCCTAACTGGGAATCAAACCGGCAACCCTTTGGGTTGCAGGCCGGCACTCAGCCCACTGAGCCACGGCAGCCACGGCTGTCCGGCCACTTTAAAGGTTGACTTGGCACTGTCTTAAAAAATGCCCACCCCTGACCCTCCACCTCCGCCTCATGGCTGTCCCTGACCATACCTGCTGCCCATCTTGCAGTCCATGATGGAAGGGCCCTCGAAGTCCGCCAGGAGATCTTCCATCTGGTTGAAGGCCTGGCCATCCTTCTGCACCATGCCATAATAGGTTGGCACAAAAGGCCGCAGGGGGTCGTTCATCAGCTGCTCCAAGCTGCGTTGCTCACACTGACAGAAACGCTTTAGAATCCGACCATCCTCTCCAGCCTGGAAGTTCCCTGTGAGCAGCACCATCAATGACAGGGTCAGACACTGTGTGAGCAAGAGAACCCCTGTCTCCTGTAGGCATCAGGCTGGCCACTGCCATTGTGCCGACTCCTCTGCAATGCTTTCTCCCGCTCCCTGCAACTCTCAAAATCTTGGCCAGGGCTGCAAGGAAGGGCCTATTTCTGCTCTTTGTTTAAACACAGTCCTCTTTGCAGCAGACTGTGCCCTCATTTGTTTTATAATTCTGGGTTGTGCGCTCACAATCAGCTGCGGGAATTTTTGTGCGATCTGAGTGGAGAGCTGGACTCGCTAGAGCAGTTATGCATTTTCTTCTGCCCAGAGTCCCAGGGCACTAACAACTGAGGCCTCCCTAAATTGATTTGCAAATCTGGCATTTCCTGGGCCACGAAGATAGTGCAGACTAGAATTACAATTCTTACTGAGGCAGATTATATTTCCAGATTATACTTTTTCAAAAGACAGGACAATAATAGCTCCTGTCCCACATGCTCTTCTAGAATTTTCCCATCCCCCAGCAAGAAGTGGAATCTCCTTCTTCTCCCCTAGGTCATAAAAGGAGATGCGGCATCCACTGTGCTGGCAGAGACACTTTACAGTCCTGACCTGCTATGTAAGAAATCTTGCTACTGGAGGCCACTATAATGCGAGGAAGCCCAAGCAACTCCATGGAGAAGCCACACATAAGCTCTCCAGCCAGTGGTCCCAACTGAGACACAAACAGTCAGCCATGACTGCCAGGCAAGTGACTCAATGACCCTCCAAAAGTTCCCAGCTTACAGCCTTCAGCTTGTTCTAGCTGAGTTCCCAGATACCATGGAGCAGTAGCAAGGCACCCCTGCCATCCCAACCCCAAAACCTGTGAATGCAATAAAATCGTAGTTTTTATTTCACCAAATTTTGTTTTTTACCCACCACTGAGTTTTGAGTATTCTGTTTGCTTGTCTGGTTTCACACTCAGTAATAGAAACTAGGACACATATTGATACCAGGCCTGTGTTTACAGTTTCAGAGGGGGCTTGTCTTTTCCCTGACTCAGATCGAAGCATGAACAAAGCAAATGGGTTCCCTTCCTGTCTCTCTCTGAGGGTGGGCATGGTTTGTCTCATCCATCCCACTGCCCATTTTTGTAAATAAAGTCTTATTGGGACACAGTCACGCTCACTTGTGTGTTATCTATGGCTGCTTTCATACTGCCACCGAAGAGCTGAGTAGTCTACTTATTACCTCGCCCTTTACAAAAGACACTGTCTGTGAGGCGTCTGTTATGCGTTGCACCACTGTGTGCGGCAGATGCTGTGCGAGGCCCTGGAGACACCATCACAGCTGTGGGTCATCGGGGGCCTCCTGAGCTCTGGACACAGGGCGAGGACAGGGAATAACAATTTCCCTATGTGGGGGGCCTATGTCTCAGTCTCGATATACATTTTGATAAGAACCCTTCAGTTAACTCTGCAAGGGAGGGACGATTATCTCTATGTTACAGATGAGGACACTGAGGCCCAGGGAGGGAAAGTCAGTTGCCCAGGGTCACCCACAAATAAAGATCAGAACTAGGATGTCAGCCCAGCCCACTTGTCCCCAGCCAGGGTGGACACACACACACACACACACACCCTAACACTGAGATAACAGGGAAGAGCCCTCAACCCTGAGGTATAAATGTCCCAGCCCAAAGAGATGGGACTCACACAAAGCCCATTTTACAGATGGGAAAACCGAGCTCCAGCAAGCCCCCCCGCAGCTTTCTTTGTGTCCCAGCCCAGGCAGCCCCGCCCGGCCCTGCCTGCCCCTGCCCTCCACCGCCCCCTGCTCTCACCAGCATGTCCGGACAGCTGGACCCAGGGGTAGTGTTTTCTAAAGGAGACCACGAAGGGCGAATACTTCAGAACTGTCTTCAGCTTCTTCCAAGGTTTGTTCTGTGTGGGGCAGAGCAGGGCAGGGTCAGGACCGAGTCCGGAGGGAGAGGAGGATGCAGGTAGTGCCAGGAGAGGACTCGAAGGTGGACCTGCGGCCTTTCCAAGGCCAGGGGCTTCCCGGAGTCACTGCTCCCAGGCTCGCTGGGGTGAGCCAAGCCCGCTACTGCAGCAATCACAGGATGTCCTAGAGGCCCCCACAAAGGCGGGGAAGAGTCTCCGTCCATTTCTCCATGTCATCACTTCCTCCCTATCTCGGTCTCTTGGTCCTTCTCCAACGAGTAAAGACAGGCCGGGTTCCGTTGCCGTAACAAGCAACCCTCGATCCCGCCCCCCACCACGCATATACACACACCCAAAACTTGGAAGCCTCATCCCTGTCCCAAAACTGAGTCAGACCTCCCCAGGACAATGACAGAGGCGGGTGTGGATGGATGGAGGCCTCATCTCAGAGAGAAAAGAAACTGAGACAGATGACAAAGCAATGACAGTGACAGAGGGACATGGACAAAGAGACTGCAGCAGTCGTGAGAGCTGCTCACCACCCGCCCCCTTACAGGCACGTCCCTGTTCTCTTAAACTTAGGGTTGTCGACTTGCTGTGGCCAATGACATACAAGCAGAAATGTCAATTTTGGGTGGAAGCCTTAGAGCCAGCGCATGACTCTCCACGTTCTTTTCCCTGTTGTAAAAAGGGTGGAAGAGAAATGGAGGCGTCCTCAGCCCCTCGCCCACCACTGACCATTGTCACTGTGGAGTGTGAACAAGTTCATCCTTTGTTGTTCCAAATCACTCCGTTTGGGGGTTTTTTTGTTACTACAGCAAATCCCGACCTATTCTTGATAACGGAGATAGACACAGTAACTAGAAGAAAAATACGGAAAGACAGAAAGGGAGACACAGATACTAAGCAATGGCAGAAAAAGAAACAGACAGAAGCAGAGGACAACAGAGAGAAAGAGAGAACAACAGAAAACCAGGGAAGCAAACAGAAAACGAGGATTCAGTTGTTTCTTATTGACTCAACAAGAGCTTCTTCAGACCGGGTGTCTGACTCCGGTGCGCACATGAGCATCCACACACAGCGCAGATACATTCTTCGCTCCCAGCATACGGCAGGCCCTTAGCAAGCAGGGAGAATGGGTCATCTCCAGAGAAGGAAGCTGTGTGGCCTGTCTCTCCTACCCCCCACCATCCCAGGGTCAAGGCCACACTCTCACCCACCCCCTCAGAGCCCATCTATCAGCAGACATCTAATCTGTGGTGGGAAGGTCAAGTAAAGTCAGGGTGTTGAACTGCAGGATTCAGGAAGAGCTTATTCCCTACCCCCTCCAGGGGCCAGGAATGGAGAGGAGGTGATTAATAAAAGTTCCTGTTTACTAAGCACCTGGAACATTCCAGGCTTAATGACAAAGAGTCAGTGTCATAACCTACTTAATCCTAAACACACAACCCCAGGAGAATTGTTGACTATACAGAGGAAGAAACAGAGGCTCAGAGGGGTAAAGTCACTTGCCTAAATCATACAGTTCTACCTTTGGCCTGACCCCCCTGACCTGGACTTACCCGCTACACCCCCACTATACCCCTGCTAGACAACGAGCCCTGAGAGCAGGGGCTGTGTCCCAGCCCATGGCCTGGCACACAAAAGGTGCTTGAAAAAGGTTGCTTGGATTGAAGCAGGTCGGTTGAAACCTCCTTTTTTTTTTTTTTAATATATTTTATTTATTTATCTTTAGAGTGGAAGGGAAGGAGAGGGGGAGAGAAATATCAATGTATGCTTGTCTCTCATGCATCCCCTGCCGGGAACTGGCCCGCAATCCAGGCACGTGCCCTGACTGGGAATCGAACCTTGGTTGTTTGGTTCACAGGCCCATGCTCAATCCACTGAGCTACACCAGCCAGGGCAAAACCTCCTTTTTTTATTACAAGCAGATTGAGTATCTTCTCTCCTTCCTTAGAGCTGATGGCTAATTTGAGCTTTCTCGGATGGTCTCATGATGCCCCCTCCTCCATGAAGCCCTCTCTGATACCCCAGGTCTGGCCAGTCACCTCCTCTGGACTCCCACACCCCCCTGGTCTTCTTCCATCTCAGCCCTGACCACTCTGAGCTGTCACATACTGGTGACAGGTCTGTCTCCTCCACGACCCAGGGAGCTCTACGAGGGCAGTATCTCAATCACTGCTCCGTCTTTAGCAAAGCCAACATAGCACCAGACATGACAGAGGCTCAGGGACTGTCTGTTGTCTGATTAGGAGGGTGAAATGAATGTGAGAAGGAAAGAAGGAGAGAAGAAAGCAAGAAACTAGCTGAACCTTTAAGGTCAGATGGGATTTCAAAATGAAGAGAGACGGAAGCTGGGCTATTCTGCGCAGTGAACAGCTTGAGCAATGCTGGAGGCAGGATGGCGCGGTGTTCGAGGAACAGTGTGTACTTCGGCTTTGTTACAATAGTGGGGTGGGGGGAGAAGGGAAGCTGAACATGGTAAGGAGCCTGGAGACAGGAAGCTGTGAACACAAGACTGAACTCCTGATCGCTATCAGGAAGGCCCCAGGGAGTTGTTGCAGGCGCTGGAGCACGCAAAGTTCAAAAGTTATCAGAGGTGGGCCATGAAGGTTCTGGAAAGATGAGAGAAAACTGAGAGAGGGAGACCCTGGGGGAAAGTAAGTCTGGGACAGATCTGCACACCTCGGAGGTTAAAAATCACTGGATTTTAAATTCAGCCAGAACGGAACTAGAATCCTTGGTTCTGGATCCAGCCAGACTTAGTCAACCCTAAGCAAGTGACTTTACCTCTCTGAGCCTCAGTTTCCTCATCTGTAAAGTGGAAATAATAATAATCCCAACCTCATACTGCTGCAATAGAAATTCAAAGAGTTAACACATAACTCTTAGCACTTAGAAAAGTGCCTCAGGATGGGTCTGAAATCTCAGCTCCATGTCTTCCAAGCCGTGTGCCTTTGGAGAACTGTCTTAACGGCTGGTTGCCTCAGTTTCCTCATCTATAAAACGAGGCGATAACAGCGTCTACCTCCTAGGGCTGCTGTGAGAATTAAAGGAGTTAATATAGCAGGGAGGCTCACAGAGGGCTGAGCATGAGTGGATTTTTTTCACACACTTCCAGCTTAGCTCTTCTGAGATGCCAAAGCGGTAAGAGAACAGGCAAAGGGAACGGCAATGGCAGACAGCCCACAGGTCAACTCCCTCGCTCTGGCAGAGGCAGGCTGAGGCAGGTCTGTCTCTCACATCTGTGGCCACGTGTGTGAGCACACACCTAAGGGAGGCATGTGGGGTGAGGAAGGCTCAGGGTAGACTCCAGCCAGGGGCTCCACAGCCACGGGCAGACCCACGGGAGCCTCCCACACCTGAATCTTCGCTCTCTCCCAAACCTGCCCTGCCAGCCCTCCTGATTCACCAGGGTAGAACCGCACCCAAGTGCAGTGGGGGTGAGGCAGGAGGATGTAAACAAGTGGGCCTGGGCCCCCTGGGAAGCTGAGGAACAATGGGAGGACTGGAGGGTCCCTGGTCAGGTTCAGGGGCTCCCTCGGCATTTTGGGTTTACACAGCCCTTTGTGAATCTGATCAAAGCTGGGGACTCACTCCCTACAAAAGTGAATGGGATAAGGGTGGTGAAGGTGCAGGACACCTTGAGGCAGCCACGGGCACCAGACTAGGAAATTTGGGGTAGAAAGTCCACCTCTTCTATTCCCCTCTACTAGTGCTCTTCAGATTTGGGGGTCACACATCATGGTCCAGAGCATCCAACGGAAGTCACAGACCTTTGCTGGAAAAATATGTGGGTATGTACATGCAGACTCACACCATCATAGGATTCCTGGGTGGCATGAAGTTGGCCAGTGGCCACCCATGTGAGACTGCAGGACTGGATGCAGTAGATGAGGGGGAAAGAGGAGGAAGTGCATGAGGGGGAAAGAGGATTAGGAGGAGGGTGCCTGGAGTAGGTTAGTAACCCAGCTGTCAGAGGGAGGAGGTAAGTGGATGGAAGAGGTGTCTGGATATGAACACCTCTGGTAGGTGTTAGAGAACTTCTCAAAGCAAAGGTAGGGGAACAAGGGGTCTGAGAGGATGTGGCTTAAGGGCAGGATGGGTCCCACTCACCCCAGACCTGTCCTCAGGGTCGCTGGCACCTCCACCCCCGGCCACCACGTCATCCTCAGACTCGTCGAAAGAAGAGGCGGAGGAGAAGCCGCCACTGCCCACCTCAACCTGGGAGAGAGATCCCTCTGGCTGAGCCTCAGGCTCAGGGGTTTCAGGAGTGATGATGAGGCGGGGCACAGGGACCAGGGAGCTATACTCCAGGTGAGAGTACAGGTGAGTCACCAACTTCCCAGGCTCTCGTTCTGCTAATGGGCCATCTTGGTTGGGGTCCCCCAAAAGGCAGTCTGTCCCAGGCTCTGTCTGGGGTCCATGAGTCTCTTGTGTCTGTGCACCATCAGTGCCGGGCTGTGTCCAGGAGCCATTAGTAGTTTGTTGTGTTGGGAAACCATCAGTGCCAACCTGTTTCCAGGCTGTTTCACTATCCTGTTGTAACTGGGAGCCATCAGTGTGAGACTCTGTCCACGGGTCTTCAGGATCCTGCTGTGTTCTGGAGTCATCAGTGTTCAGTGCTCTCCAGGAGCCATCAACACTTGGCTCTGTTGAGGGACAGGCCCCCTCTGACTGAGTCCGAAGGCTGGACCTCTTCTGGTGGGTAGACTGGTTATCAGCCCAGGGCTTGGACCTCTCTAGCTTGGACCTCTCTGGCTGGGCCTGTGACCCAAGTATTTCTAACTCTGTCCATGGCCCATCAACGCATGGCTGTGTCCAGAGTCTGGCCCTCTGTGGCTGACACTGAAGATCGGACCTGCATGGATCAGTACAAAATCCGTCTGTCCCTGTCTCCGTCCAGGGCCCGGCTGTCTCCAGCTCTGACCAGTGGCTGCTCCTTTCTGGATGTATCCTGGGGCTGGACTTGTCTGGCCCCGTCTTTTGGCTGGGCTGCTCCGTCTCCGCTCCGAGGCCAGCTGCTTCAGGATCAGCCTGTCTGCCTCTCCCCGGTTCAGGCCCGAGGCCGGCCCTCTCGCGTTCGGAATGGAGGCAGGACCCCTTGGTCCAGGCCTGGGGCCCGCCCCCCTCTGGCCGCCCCGCCGGGCCCCCGGCGCCGGGTCCTGGTCTCTGCTGCCCCGGCTGCCGCCGCCGCCCCCCTCGCGGCGCCTCCAGCCCCATGCCGGTCGACCCCGGCAGCTTTCCGGCCTCGGCCTCGTTCAGACTCCCCCGGCACGGGCAGCGCCTCATGCCCGCTCCCTTGGTTCGGGCTTCGGCCCAAACCGGCCCCTCCTGGCCCTTTAAATCCCACGAGGGGTGTGGCTCCGGAGCCCGGACTGGCAGGTTCCGGCCCGCGAATCCCCAGCCCGCCAGGCCACGCAGTGGTTAACCGATACTCCCCCTCCGTTGGGGGGGGCGGGGGAAAGCCCCTAAGTCCCGCCCAACAGGACGTGGCGTAAGGGCGGGCCTTTTCTGTCCCCGCCCCCTTTCCTCGGACTGAGTGGATTCCCAGAATTCGGTACGCCACCGGGTTGGGTCTGGGGTTCCACCTGAGGGCCCGTGAAGCCCCTCCCTATATCCCGGCGATTAATCTAACCTCATTTCACCCTCGAGTGACCAATTTAGCCTCCTTACAACTTGGAGACGGGTCCAACAGCGGGCCCTTTCTTCACACAGCAGGGCCGATGTTCCAAAGATTTGGGAATCCCACGGACGTGTGTTCAAAACCGCCTCTCCCACTTGCTAGCTGTGTTACCTTGAACGAGTGGCTTACGCTACCTAACAGAGTTCAGTTTTGTCATCTGTAAAATGAGGATACATAATATTTGATTGTTTCAAAAATGTGTGTTCAGCCCAGGCTGGTGCGGCTCAGTGGATTGAGCACTGGCCTGCGAACTGAAGGGTCACAGGTTGGTTCAGAGTTGTGGTACTTGCCTGGGTTGCGGGTAGAGGGCGCGCGAGAGGCAACCACACATTGATGTTTCCCTCTCTCCCTTCCTGTCTAAAAATAAAATCTTTTTTTTTTTAATGTGTGTTCGATTCCACAAGAGCGAAACACTTTACCAACAGGGAACTTGAGACCCAGAGCAGTAAAAGAATTTGTCTGAGGTCACAGGGAGATTAGATGAGGGGCAAAGCCATGGCCTTACGTCTAAAGCTAGGATACCTGGCCAAATCCTGGCTCCAACAGACTTGTTTCCTCTGAGCCTCAGTTTCCTCAGCTGTAAAAAGGATATAGCAATGATAATTTCCTCGTGGGGTTGTTATGGGAATTTTTATTTATAATGTATACATTTGTGCACTTGCTTCACACCATGCAGTGTACTTAGACCTCTTTATACCCCATACCTTTTAAGGTAGGGATCTTCATCATCCATGGTCAGGAAAACAGAGGCATACTTGAGCAAAGTTCAAGATCACATATCTAAACTGTGTAGATTTGAACTCAGGCCAACCTGACCCAAAGTCTGAACTTTTGGACCCTACTGGATGATATAACTTGCTTTTGAGGCTGAGGTGTTGCAGGAGGAGCTGGAAGTAAGAGTATTTTCTCTAAGTCAGATCATGATTCTTCTCTGCTCAGAACACTCCGTGTTTCCCATCCCATTCACCACAGTCCTCACCGTGATTCACTATACTCTATATGATCTGACTCTAGTTACGTCCCAGATCTCATCTCCTCTGTCTTTTCCCTTCACTCATTCTGCCCACTAGCCTCCTCTATTTCTCTGAGACATCTTCTACCACAGGGCTTTTGTACTGTTTGTTCCCTCTGCCTGGAACGCCCTTCCCTCAGATATTCTAATAGTTCCCTCCCTCACCTCCCTCAAGTCTTTGAATGTCATCTCTTCAGTGAACCTTCTCTGACCACCCTATTTAATCTCACAATCTTCCGCTCCCTGACCCCCTTCTCAGGTTTATTTTTATATTTAACAGGTATCATCTTATTAAACACACAGGCATACCACAGAGATGTTGTGGGTTTGATTCCAGATCACCACAATGAAATGAATATTGCAATAAAGCAAATCAAAGAATTTTTGTTTTTCCAATGCATATAAAATTATGTTTATATTATACTGTACTCTATAAGTATGTGACAGCATTATTTCTAAAAACAACAATATGCATACCCTAATTAAAAAATACTTTATTGATTAAAAATGCTAACCAGACTTCCGGCCAAGATGGAGGCATAGATAGATACACTTTGCCTCCTTGCACAACCAAAAGAAGGACAATAACAAATTTAAAAACAAAAAAATAACCAGAACTGCCAGAAAATCAAACTGTATAGAAGTCTGACAACCAAGAAGTTAAAGAAGAAATATTCATCCATTCCGGTAGGAGGGGTGGAGACAAGCAGCTGGGGTGGAGAGGACTCCCAGCAAGGCAGCAGCTAGAGGACTGGGCAAGGCGGTGGCAGGCAGAGTGGGTGGTCCCACATTTGTGTGCAGATAAACTAGGAGGAACAACCGGGAGTGAGACAGACTGCCCAACCCAAGGTTCCAGCATGGGGAAATAAGGCCTCAAAACCTCTGACCGAAAAAAACCTGTGGGGGTTGAGACAGGGGTAGAAACTCCCAGCCTCACAGGAGAGTTCATTGGAGAGATCCACAGGGTCCTAAAACATTTGCAAACCCACCCACCTGGGAATCAGTACCAAAGGGCCCAAATTGCTTGTGGGTAGTGGGGGAAGTGACTGAAAGCTAGGAGAGCTGAGCAAGCAGCATTGATCCTTCTCAGACCCCTCGCCCACAGACAGTGACACAACTCAATGACCTGGGTTGCCCCACCCCGGTGATACTTAAGGACCCACCCCTTATATGTAACAGGTACTCCCAGACAAAACAAAAAAACACATGGCCCAAATGAAAGAACGGATCAAACCTCCAGAAAAAAAATACAACTAAGTGATGAAGAGACAGCAAACCTATCAGATGCAGAGTTCAAAACACTAGTAATTAGGATGCTCCAGAAATGATTGAGTATGGTGGCAAAATAGAGGAAAAAAGTGAAGGCTATGCAAAGTGAAACAAAGGAAAATGTACAGGCAACCAACAGTGAAGGGAAGAAAATGAGGACTCAAATCAATGATTTGGAGCAGAAGGAAGAAATGAACAACCAGAACAGAATGAAGAAACAAAAATTCAAAAAAATGAGGAGAGACTTAGGAACCTCTGGGACAACTTTAAATGTTCCAACATCTGAATTATAGGGCTGCCAGAAGGAGAAGAAGAGGAAGAAATGGAAAACTTATTTGGAAAAAATAATGAAGGAGAACTTCCCCAACCTGGAAAAGGAAATAGACTTCCAGGAAGCTCAGAAAGTCCCAAAGAAGTTGGACCCAAGCAAGCACTCACCAGGGCACATAATTACATCACCCAAGATTAAAGATAAGGACAGAATCTTAAAAGCAGCAAGGGAAGAGGAGACAGTTTACCTACAAAGGAGTTCCCGTAAGACTGTCAGCTGATTTCTCAGAAGAAACCAGGCAAGAAGAGGCTGGAAAGAAGTATTCCAAGTCATGAAAGGCAAGGTTTAGTATCCAAGATTACTGTATCCCGAAAAGCTATCCTTTAGAATGGAAGGAAGGGCAGAAGGGCAGATAAAGTGCTTCCCAAATGAGGTCAAGTTAAAGGAATTCATCATCACCAAGCCCTTATTATATGAAATGTTTTTTAAATATTTTATTTATTTATTTTTAGAAGGGACGGGAAGGAGAGAGGGGAAGGGAAGGAGAAAGGGAGAGAAACATCAATGTGTGCTTACTTCTCACGTGCCCCCTGCTGGGAACTGGCCTGCAACCCAGACATGTGCCCTGACTGGGAATCGAACCTTGACCCTTTGGTTTCCAGGCCAGTGCTCAATCCACTGAGCTACACCAGCCAGGGCTATAGGAACTGTTAAAGGGACCTAGCTAAGAAAAAGAAGATCAAAAACTGTGGATAGTAAAATGACAACAAACTCACAACTATCAATAATGAACTAAAAAACAAAAACAAACTAAGCAAACAACTAGAACAGGAACAAATTCACAGAAACAGAGATCACATGGAGGGTTATCAGCGGGAGGGGAAAGGAAGAGAATGGCGGGGAAAGGTACAGGGAATAAGAAGCATAAATGGTAGGTACAAAATAGACAGGGAGAGGTTAAGAATAGTATGGGAAATGGAGAAGCCAAAGAACTTTTATGTATGTCCTATGCACAAGAACTAAGGTGGGGGAATGATGGTGGAATGAGGGATACAAGGTGGAGGAGAATGAAGCACAGAAAACAATGGGACAACTGCCATGGCTGATGAAGCTCAGTGGACTGAGCACAAGCCTTCAACCCAAAGGGTCACAGTTCAATTCCCAGTCAGGGCACATGCCTGGCTGCAGGCCAGTTCCCCAGTAAGGGGTGGATGAGAGGCAACCACACACTGATGTTTCCCTCTTTCTCCTTCTCCTTCCCTTCCCCTTTCTCTAAAGATAAATAAAATCTTGAAAGAAATGGGACAACTGTAATAGCCTCATCAATTAAAATATATTTAAAAATAAAAGTAAAAATACTAACCATCATCTGAGCCTATTGGGAAAACAGTGTTCATAGACTTGCTTGAGGCGGGGTGTTCACAGACTTCAATTTATTTTTTAAAAAAAGCAGTATCTTCAAAGCACAATAAAACGAGGTATGCCCACACTTACTTATTTCGTTTACCATGCCCCTCACCAGCAGCCAGGACCAAAAGGGCAAGGATTTTTGCTTTCGTTCCTTGCTTTGTCCCCAGTGCCTAGAAGAGCACATGGTAAGTGCTTAGTAGAAATTAGTAAAGAACTATTTTTCCATAAGAAATTTCTCTTGTGTGTAGCTCTGATTCTGTGCCAGGCCCTGCACTCTTTACACTATTTCACTGCATCTCTCTCTCACTAACCTAACACTGAGCAAGAAGTGATACCAAGGCCCCAATTTACAGATGGGGACACAGAGACTCAGAGGTCTGCCAACTTGTAGCCTTTGTTTGTATGACCTCATGCATGTGAAGCATGCGTCACCAGGCTTGGCACCATCTGCCACAGTCCTGTAAATTAGTTATCATAGGTACTTTTTAAATGTTTTTACATTCAAGAGTGAGCTACCACTCAGATCCTGAGTCAGACCCTTATGTCTGGAAGGGGACAGGGGGTGGTTTCTGTCTTGAAACTGAGTCACCTGTGGGAGGGTCATTGGGCACAGGTCCAGGGCTCTAAAATGAGTCATCTCTTTACAGACCAAAGAGAAGTCCTATCAGGGACCCTGTAGTGCAACAGTCAGACTGGGAAAATGAGGTCCAGAAAGGGTCAAGGCTCTTCTGAGGTCACACGGCACAGAGACAGAGACAGGGAGGTCTGATTCCTGACAAAGGGGTTAGACG